AGCGATAGCTCACGTAAAGGAAGGCAACTACGGTAGGGCGCAGGTGATCTATGGTGATACCGATAGCATGTTTGTTCTTGTGCCAGGTTCGTTCGTAATTTCATAGGAATTACTTATCAGCAATAATTTTTGGAAACTGGTACTACAAAGTTATGCGAGGGAGTGAACATTTTTCTTTGGACTCGTTTCCTCTTTTAAGGAGCCACTAAAGCTGAAGCGTTTGCAATTGGCCGTCGTATTGCTGAAGACGTCACTAAAGCCAATCCTACTCCTGTTGTACTGAAATTGGAGAAGGTGCGACTTTAAAACGTCTTTATGGGAACTGATTAAGTTGCTGTTGGTGAGGCTTTCTCTTTATTAGGTTTATATGGGATGTGTTCTGGAAACGAAGAAGCGATACGCTGGATGGATGTACGAGAGTGAAGACGATGAAAAAGGTCAACTGGACGCGAAAGGGGTTGAGACAATTCGCAGGGATACGTGCATGGTTGTTGCAAATGTGAGTTCACTTCTGCTTATGGGAAGGCTCGCCCTTCAGCAGTGGAAGGTGTAAACGAATCTCTTACCGTTCAACAGCCTCAGTGGTCAGGAATTCTAACTTGGCCGCTATTCTCGCCTTCCTTTGTGGCCTGAGCCTTACCAACTTTCGCTTGTGGGGGGGGGGGCAGTTGTATGAGCGGATTGTGTCGCGAACAATAGGGTTGCAGTCGGCCGACTAGAAAGTAATGCCCTGCACCTCAGTTAATAACGCAATCCTCTATTATTGGGTGGGCGGAGACCGTCAGCCACTTGGCTTTTCTCATTGGCGCTTTTCGCTCTCACGGTTATCGCGGAATGTGTCTTGAAGGCAAATGCGAGCAGATGTAGGGCTTGATGGCGTACGCAATAGAGTTCAGAGTTGTTGATGTGTACGTCGGCTATGTTACCGTTGCGTGGACGAAACAAGCACCAAAAATTCCCAGGAATCTGAATGGAAGTTGACTGTGTGGCGCATCCTAGGCAGGGGTAAGAATCCTGTGGCGCATCCGACGCAGGAATGAGGAATTCATATATGCCTAATGCTTATCTATTTCTTATTCTTCTTTGGAGGTGGAGAAGTCATTCTATTTTGAACTGACTTCCAATTTGCTGCCCCCTCCAAATCGTATGCAGCTGTTCGATCAGCCACATTCAAAATAATGCCGTCATTCGTTTGTTTTTGCACAAGCAGCAATGAAATTTTTCTGTTCAGGTTCTGGAGCGTAGCTTGAAGCTGATCTTCGCTCAGGACTGGCGAGCTCTGAGTACGTATCTTAACACGAAGTTGTCCCGACTTCAAGACCTGCCGTACACGGACTTCATCTTCTGTAAAGAATTTCGGGGGCATTATGCTGACAACGCCCCTGTCCCACAGTTGAAAGTTGGCAATGTAAGTCTTACGTTTGGTGCTCTGAAAAAGCCAACTCGGCCAGTCTGCTTTTAGGCGGCTTACTGCCGAGAATCCTGCTCACATTGCCCTCGTTGTGAGAATCGTCCTACCGTAAATTGTGACCCGGAAGGGGCGAGCTCCTGACGCTACAGTAATCTCTGTGTAGCGAATCGATTCCTTGACTTCCTGGCGGATAAAGAGCCTTAACAGGTGGGCGCGATCATATCTGAAACCATTAAATTCAGGCAGTGAGAAGGGCCGTTGTTGAGGGGACCCGCCGACAGGTGAGCATATTGGCCATGGCCAGTGCTGTAGCAGGGACGGGGTGTGCTCGGAGATCCTCAAACAGGGGTTACATTTGATCACTGGAGCGAGGTGGTTGAGAAAAATGTTTCGGCTGCTGACTTTTCTTCCTCTTTTTTTCTTTCAATCCCCCTAAGACGCTTGCTTTTACCGCGTGTGGCGCCTATATATGGTGCCTCCCCAACCCCGTGTCGATGGCATTTTTTTAGGAGAAAACTGATGAGTTTCCGGAGAAAAGTGGTGGGAAGTTGGGAAAGTCTACGAAAATAGTTCATAACGCAGAGAATGCGCAAGAGTTATTTGGAGGAATTTTTCGGGGCGGCATTTTGCTAAACTCATTTGTTTACCCTGTTCACGTCCTCTGCTCAGCATGCAACAGGCCGCCGGCAACACGCTCACAACTGTGCCCATGAGAACGCCCTTTCCTGACTCCGTGGTATGAGCTGCAATGCTGCAACTACAAGATCAGCATTTTGAACCTTCAGTGAATTCTGTTCAATTTTGGGTCCTCTTTTGCAGCGCAATTGTTCATTGGAGATGTTTCGATTTCAGATTCACTTTACTTACTACGCTCATGTACACATTCTTCCTGCCCTTCGACGAGTTACTGATCTCCTGCCACTTACTATAACGTGGCGTGCAGACGCCGCATCACTCTGTTTCACGTAAGGAACACCTACTCTTATGAGGTTACACTTTATTCAAACATGACTGTTGCTACTTAATTTTAGGCCAGGATGCCTGACAGCAGGTGGAGATCCATGGTGTTCTTGTTGTGTAGAATATGGTTCCACATTTCGATTTGCTCTCGCTTCATTAGCCCGTGAAGAGCGATTGCGGGCCATTGCGCGGCTTGCCTGCAGTCGTTGTCAAAATGGTGTCCATTGTGATATGAATCAGTGCCAGAATCACAGCTGCAGTGTTAAAAAAGTGAGTTGTTCTGCTGAATAAATTCCATATTCTAGTATTACAAGTTACTAACGGTGAGCAGCGAAACGTCTCCCAGAAATTCGAATAGCGACTACTTTCCTTTGTAGATATTCTCTGCGTGAAAGTTGAGGTGAGTTCCAAGCTTTCCTGAGCAGACGTAGCTGCATGTAATTCCCTCAATAATGAAGAAGAAGTTTAGTGAGGTCTGAACTCATTCAGCTTTCCAAATGAACCCGGGCCAGCTGAGCCTACCATTCCTTTGGGTCAGTTGGTTGGTACCGAACTTGTCAAGACATTCGAAAAGACTCAGTTTTAAATCAGTTGACCTTCGCGAGTCGTTGTACGGATCAAATCACATTTAGAGCATCACTGCTGTCTCATCTAGTCGATAAAAAGCTTTTTGCTGTTTTCTACCTTCGAGTTCAAGAGCGTCCCGCACATCACGGCTCTA